CTACAATGACTAAACATATTTACAATGTTTTTAATTTTCCCTTTCCTTTACTTACAAGAAAAAAACAATACAAAATTTATTGATTTATCTTTTTTTTGTCCCTAAAAAGCATTGTCCTTTGCATGCTTTCAGCAAACGGAGCAGGCCATCGTGTTATGCCTGTTTCACACATACTCAGTTTGCAGTGTGTATGTGGTGCATATTTTTTCCGCACCCATGTTAACGGATTAGAGAAGGGCTATTCAATTAGTGTCATTTGAGGGCTGGATTATCGAATTGAAAATTTGAATGGGGCCAAGGGGGTGGGGGCCATCCCGATCTCTTTCTGGGGGGACCTATACAATTAGAAATTAAATTGAAATCTAAAATCTATAAAAGGTTAACATTAAGTGCTGTCTTTCAATCAATTAAAAAAAATAATCACACATTTTTCTGTAGTTAATCATGATTAATCACATTTTAATATTGTCATAATTTCACAATGAACCTCCAAATTAATGTAGAAACAACATAAAGATTTTAAAGATCTTTTTACTAAGTAGCCTATTATTAAAGGGGTCATATGACGTTGCTAAAAAGAACATTACGATATTGACCCAACTATAAAACAATGTTTTTTTCTTGGAAATACATCTGAAAAAACGCGGTCGTCTTATATTCAGGGTCTAGACTTTGACATGTCAATAATACACCCACAACAATAGGTGTCGCCAAATACGCATAAAACGAGTGTGCCATGAAATACGTAATGTAATGCGTGCTGTAAAGATCGCGAGTAAAAACAAAGGAAAAAGAAAACCTTACAGCTGCATGAGTCGTGACTGTCAGGTTAGCCTGATGGGACCAAACTCCCTTTGTGATTTTAAAATGTAAGACAGTACCCAGATTTGAAGACTACAGTAAGATTTAACTTCTACGGCTACTATTAGATGGATAGCCTAAATGTCCTAATTCATGTTGTTTTTTTTTATGGTATATCAAAAAGTGTATATTTTTTAAATGTGATTGTTGGTACATTTTATCAGTTTTTACCATACTTTTAAAACAAAAATTGAAATAGGAAAAATATGCTATATGAAAATAATTGAAGACAAAATGTGTTTTACTGAGAAGAAACAAGATTTGTTTTTTAAAAAGCCTTTTTCCAAAAGGTACATCTGGAAAAAGGGGGGTCGTCTTACATTCGGGCCAATACGGTATGTTGTGTATTTGGTGTAATGCAATGTGTTTATGCGGTTTAAGGTTGAAACAACATTATTTTCCACATAATGTACATTATTGTTGCTCCTATATGCCCCGCTTTTCTGAAACGCGTCGATTTTTACAAAGCTCATCGTTCTGAAAAGCGAGGTGTATGCTGATTGGCCAGCTATCCAGTGCGTTGTGATTGGCTGAATACCTCATGCTTGTGACGGAAATGTTAAGCACCTTAACATACTGTGAATCCATCTCCCGGCACGACGAGACAAAACCAATAAAACCCATTACAAAGCTATGCAGAACTGCAGGTTCAGGAAACAGTCCTCCATAAAATGCTTCACACAGCGTCACACACTGCGGGCTAGAGTGAGAAACGGCCGGCGGTCTTGAGAATGGCGCGGCCGGTGGGCTTGCGGCAACCACATGTGACGACCCCGGGCCCACAACATGGCGGCGGTGGCAACAACAATACTACAGTGAGAATAAAAGTTATGCTTTGCGTGAACATTTGGGCGGTGTTATGCAAATCTCCCCACACAGTGACGTAGGGCGTGTTTAAATGAGGCGTTTTAGGAGGGCGTGCACTAGTCTTAACTTTTATAAAGAATATCTCTTTGGATTTGAGACTTTAATCTTTGCAACTTTACAGATCTTCTTTATGCACCAAGAGCTTGTAACACTCCAAAGAGAAAGGAAAAATTTAAATCGCATCATATCACCCCTTTAATGAAGTATTGATACCAATAAGAACAATAATGCATTTTCCCTCAATTTTACCTTTTAATTATAGCCATTCAACATTACAGTATAATTGAAAGCCATTATTTTTAACATTTAATAGGCTCTGAAATATTAAGTGATTTTAAAACAATTTTCACAAACTATAAATTGTATATGCATAAACTATACAGATGAATCTTTATTCAAGCTACAAAAGTTAATCAGCGACTAGAGCAGTCCAGTGATGTCTCTTTTTCTTTTTTTCTTCGATTTACAGTGGTGTGAAAAAGTGTTGGCCCCCATCCTGATTTCTTATTTTTTGCAAATAATAAAAACCTTCATTTAAAAAGTGCATGTTGTGTTCACTTGTGTTATCTTTTACTAATATTTAAATTTGTTTGATGATCTGAAACATTAAAGTGTGCCAAACATGCAAAAAAATAAGAAATCAGGAAGGGAGCCAACACTTTTTCACACCACTGTACATCAATCACAGACTTTAGCAGGTTTCTCACGGGCACTTATTCACAATCACAAAAGTAAATTTTTTGCATCTGCTTTAAAGCCTTACTGGTTAAATGTTTCATTTGTGTGATGTTCTTCAGACGAGCACTTTTTCTGAGCACACCCGCATTGGGTGCGCGCACGAAAACGAAAAAGCCCGTCAAACAGTGCCTGATTACTGAACTAAGTTATGTTTTGTGCTAATACTGTTAAAACTTACAAGGCTTATGTATAAACTCGGTTATGTCTAAAATGAAAGTAAACAACTGAGAGAAACGGATGCCTGCTTGTATATTAGATGCATGCAGGTCTTAAAGGGATAGTAGTAGTATTTCATTGATCCGAGGTGTGGGGACCCTCATGTTAATGTCTACATTTTCAGGCTCATTTTCCGCTAAAAACCTTACAACTGCAGTCATGCACACCATGGAATTTTAAAGCACTAACAAACACAAAATGTTAGCTAACATGATGATTTCCATGCTAGTCGGACTGGTATCTGCATGTTCAAGTTGGTTGAGTAGCCTTTGTTAAAGCAAGAGTCTTCATGCATAGCCTTTATCCTTTTGAAAACAAAAATAACTGTGAAATTTCCAGACATGAAAACGTTTTTCCCAGCAAGCATCGTAATTAATTCATCCGGCGTTTGAGGAGAATAATTGTAGACGGGTGTTATTTGCGCACGCACCAGCAGGCGACTCACGTGAGTCAACATGTGTCAACAGAACCAGGAACTAGAGCCCTGCATTTCAGCCCGGGCCCGACGGTCCCCAACTTTTTTTACGTCATAGTTCAGACGCGGGCCGGGCCTCGGGCCTGTTTTAGGCTTCTCCTTATTTTTATATTTTAGACATCATCAGGGATTAAAAAAAAATCGCCGCGCTGGTGTAAACACCAGGAGACCGTGGTACCGCAACTGTCAAGAGCGGCTCGATGGTGTTTAGTGTCCAGCAGCATGCGTGCAGTCAGCACAGCTGAAGAGATCTGCGTTCAAACGCACGCAGTAGGCTAAAGCCCCAGCAAAAGTAATTACCATGAACGTGTCAGGGGGAAATAGTAAGGAGATATATTAATTATTTACTAATAAACTAGTGTTTTCTGAGTCTGTGTCGCAAGGAAGTTGTCGATCCTGACGCGCCTTTAGAGAGAAGTGCATCTTTGAGGATTATGATTATAATGAAAGATTTGTTTTATTTCGTTATTATTTAAAGCTTTCTATACATATATTTATCATGTCTGTGAGGCATCTATTCGCTGAGTTTCGGTTCATTTTTGTATTTTTGTGAGGCGCTCCTGTTCAAGACGAAACGGCAGAAAGCGCATCATGTTTGTTTTCTTTATTTTATAAAAGCACAACGTTTTGTTGATATTGTGAATGCACACAAATAAAAGTAGACCCTTTACAGTTCCGAATAATGTATTACTCTTACCTTTATGAGCAAAAATGACGGCATATGCACTGAAAAAAAGCAAGTGATTGCGCTGGCGCCTCCATGTCCTGCAAAGCACACTTAGCTTGCACTCTCCGCACAAACTATTGGATATACTATATAGCGCACGTTTATCTAGGTTTAACGTTTAAACTTTGTTAGATGCTTGAACAGTTTTATATCTATAGATTTTATTTTAGGCAAGTCGTGATGATTTGAGAAGGCTAAAATTGATCAGGCATAGGCTATGATCAGCTTACTGTCTGCCGCTGGCCGCTTGGTCGTTACTTTAAGAAACAAAAACTTGTAACGAACAAAAATGCTCCAAACGTTTTTCTAAATTAACTTAATAAAAAACGAAACGAAATATAATCACTTTGCCATTACATACAAAACTGAACTATTTTAATAGCTGAAACAGTAGTATAAACTGTTTTGGGAGAAGGGGAAAAAAAGACGGTCTCGGCCGGCAATTCTGATAAACTGTCGGACACGGGCCGGGCTAGGGACTAGGCCTATATTTGAGGCCCGTGCAGGGCTCTACCAGGAACTATGACGAAGCAGAGCTAAATATATAGCGTTATGTCAAAATACAAATTTATTTAATTTTAAATTAAACAAATGCAATCCTGATAGTATTCCCACTTTTTACAAAATGTATCTGTAATCTGAATACTTTGTTTTTTGATGTAACTAACCGATTACAGTTACTTGATTTTTGTATCCTGATTACGTAACACCGTTACATGTATTCCCTTACTCCCCAGCCCTGGTTATGACATAGCCTATACAAGTTTGTTTGTGTAAGTTTCATGCAGACTATCTGTTTAAAATGTTTCTGTATGTGTGTTGAGGTGTTGATAATGGCAGTGGACTGGGCTGGATATGGATACGCAGCACTAGTAGCATCTGGAGGAGTCATAGGATACGTCAAAGCAGGTAGTGCGACAGATCAAGAGATTATCATGTAGGCCTATATAGAGTTTACAGGATTAAGAGCCCAAACTTGTTTGATGGTCATTGCTTGTGCAGGCTGGTTTGGTTGGCTGGCACTTGTCAGACTGGACAACTGGCTAAAAACTAATCAGTTCTTTAATCACTTATTTTTACATAAATGCATTTGGTTCCTCTATATTCAGTGAAAATGTCAATACACCTTACAACCAAAAAAAAAAAAAACCTGCCTTCAGCCCTGTTGTATGATTGTACAAAAATGTTAAAAAGGTTTTTACTGGATAATAACAAACATCTAAAAGTTAAAAACACTTCTTGTTTTGTAATCTGAATTCCTTATGACACTTTATACCATTCATGAAGACAGTGTTTTAGTATATTTTATGTTTTAATTAATTTGTCTTGCAGGCAGTGTCCCGTCCCTGGCAGCAGGGCTGCTCTTTGGTGGTTTGGCTGGTTTTGGTGCTTACCAGACATCACAAGATCCCAAAAATATTTTCCCTCTCTTAGCTGCATCTGGGACACTTGCTGCTATCATGGGCAAGAGATTCTATAACTCACGCAAAATCATTCCTGCTGGTCTTATTGCTGGAGCTAGGTAACTAACACACATCACACTTCATTTGTCTAAAACAGGGTTTCCCTTTTTTCGTAGATGATAGAGCTCTCGACTGTTAGCAAAATATTTTAGCTCATTAACAACTGAAAAAAGAAGACAAATGAGTTACATACTCATGCAGATTCCAGCCAAGGGAAGCCAGGGAAGAAACAGAAATATTATAATTCAGCCTCTCCCACTCCAAAAATCTCAGCATGTCACTTATAGCATAACAAGTACCATAGTATTAGCATCTGTTTGTGTCTGTGTGTGTTTTAATTATGACATGGTATTCATTGCAGTACCTTATAAATATTGAAGGTATGAATATAGCAACCCTTCAATCAAAGGTACCACCCCAGATAGTTTATTTCTGCAAGTGCTTTTTCAGCATGTGTTGCAGCTTAAAATGCAATTTATCATTAGTAAAATTTTCTCTTATTTACTCCAGCTGTTTGAGCAGAGGCCCCTCATCGGTGTTGTTTTCCAGGTATTGTCACATGACTGCAGTTAATTATCAACTTAAATCTAAAGGGCAAGTTCACTCAATTTTGTTTACTCAAACCTGAATGACTTGCTTGCTTCCATGAAACAGAATGGGAAGAACTTTTGCAGCTTTTCCATAATACCGTCAAACTCCAAAAAAACAACATTAGTACTATCAAAAAAGTAGCCCATGTGCCTCATCTGCTATACATACTTCAAGTCTTCTGAAGTCATGCAATAGCTTTGCTTAAGGAACAGACCAAAATGTGTCTTTTGAGTCTGATGTCTGATGACAGAATTTTCATTTTTACCTGAACTATTACCTTTAAATGTTTCTTGCAGTGTGCTGATGCTGGCAAAACTCGGAGCCGGAATGCTACAGAAACCTCAGCAATCATGATACCCAAACAGAAATCACTGTCTGCTTTCATTCAAACATAATTGTCTTTGAACAACATGTCATTAAAGCTCATTGTCATATTTTGTATAAAATGTACAATAAAAATGTAGTTGTCAGGAGAATTTCTGAATCAAAGATTTCTAATACAAACATGCCCATTGTATGCATATAAAACACTTACAAAACACTATTTATTGATTTGAGTTCAGCCCAACCCAATTGCTGTTACCTACATTGTATGTTTATGTGGTAGTTGTCAGTACCGTTTACAGGGGGAAAAACGGGGGAAAAAGGCTACTCAACATACAAGGAAATATAAATAACACTGCTTTGCAGTATGAATCACAGTAACACATAAAAAAAAAGAAAACAAGAATATATTTAAAAACTGCATACTATAAAAAAATGTCAAAAAGGTTACAAAAAATAAATGCAATATATGGGATATAGATCTACCCATTCTATTGAAAATAAGGGTTACAGGCATTGGATGCATAAACTTAAGACCGCTTTAAAGATGAACAAATTGTTAGGTACACAGATTCTTGTTTTTTATCGAACAATTAATCAGCTGTGGGCTTACAGTAAGTGGTGTGGATGCTCCTCGCAGAAACAAAAAGATATGTGTTTATACAATATTCACGAGTGTTGAAACAGGCCCTAGTCCTCACAGCAGCTGTAGCTCGCATAATAGATATTAGCGATGGCTTCCATATTTTGCAGCCCAGTCAACCCGCCCATGCACTGGCTGAACTGGTGGAGCGCGAGCAATGAGATTGGCTGAGTTTTTGCCCAGAGCCGAGTAACTCATTCCTTTAGGTTGGGTTCGGTCTGCTCTCCTTTTCCATCCATCATAATCTGAGAAGAGAGAACAGGCTTTTAACACTTGTGCAAATTCAGCAAAGCCTAAGTTATGGGCTACTTCTATGTAATAAAGAGGCCGAGTCCAAAATTAACACTTGCTAAGGGGCAAAAGAGTAAAAACTGTATTTGGTAAATAAAACCAGTTGGCCAGTAACTTAATTAGGAACTTCAACATCACATGGCTCACAACATATGAACAGAGGTGAAGCAGAGGTGATTCAAATCAAAGACAACGGTCTAGTGACTTATGTGGAATAGTCCTTGCATTGGCCACCAAAATGGTAATATGAGGGGGGGGAAAATGATCATGCGTCTTAACGTTGTGACAGCTGCCGTTATACACTGACTCATAAATGATGCTGCGAGTGACAATGATTTCAGTGTATCTGTCACTAAGAGCAAGGTATCACTTATATAAATCCACTGTACAAATAGGGATGCAGCGATTAACCGGTTTCGCGATTAACCGCGCTTTAAAACGTCACGGTTAGTTAATCGTAAAGGTTCCGCTAAACCGGGTGTTTCTGTTACACTGTAGCAGCTTGCGCAAAACAAAAAACGTTACACTAGCGGTGCACCAGCTTAAAATGACGTGCTTATCAGAGGCACGGAGGCTACTACATGCATTAGATTAACTGACAAAGGGACCAAACAGCGAAGCTTTATTTCCACCAGAGAAATGCCTGTCGATAGTGTGAGACCATTTTGGGTACACCAAGAATGACCAGGGTGTCATATAAATATTGCTGTAAAAAAACTGCTGCTAAACAGTAGGGATGCAGCAATTAACCGGTTTCGCGATTAAACGCGCTTTAAAACGTCACGGTTAATTAATCGTAAAGGTTCCGCTAAACCGAGTGTTTCTGTTACACTGTAGCAGCTTGCGCAAAACAAAAAAAGTTACACTAGCGGTGCACCAGCTTAAAATGACGTGCTTATCAGAGGCACGGAGGCTACTACATGCATTAGATGAACTGACAGAGGGACCAAAGAGCGAAGCTTTATTTCCACCAGAGAAATGCCTGTCGATAGTGTGGGACCATTTTGGGTACACCAAGAATGACCAGGGTGTCATATAAATATTGCTGTAAAAAACTGCTGCTAAAGAGCGAATACATAAGGGATAATGCACGGCTTGCTGTACATTAAACGATTTTAATGCACGACGTGAAGGCAAGAACCACCTGACGCGAAGCTACAGCTCGTTAGCTCAGCATTCTGCCCGCTTCAGATCAGAAAGAGATGAAATAGGGCGGTAAGATTACATTTATTTGAATTAATTAATTATAACATTTAGCTACTTGAATTCATTATTAGAGAGAGAGAGAGAGAGAGTTGACAGTTGCCTGTGTGAATTAGCCTACCTGCGTCTGTGCGTCTCTCCAGTAGGCTATTTCATCTATTTTATTAATAAAAGTCACGGGCAGCATTCTCAAGAAGTTTGTGTCCTCCTGAATGTTTGTACACGTGCGCAGCGGGATCTCCGATCTCACAAACCAAAATAACAGACTTGATTTTCTCAGGCCACATGTAAAATCATATGAATTATTATAAAGATTATTAAAATTAATACGTATGGATGACAGTTGATTACAATATTTCCGTTTATTTCCATCATTAGTAACAGTCTCCCCTGTGGGACAAATAAAGTCAATATTAGTCGTATATTAATGCTAGGCTACTTCATTAACTTTGTTATTTACTATCCCTGTTGTAGTATTATTCATAAGTAAAAACCAACAATATTTTTTTTCACCAAGTTTCCAAAATCTCTACCCCAGGTCCAAAAAAAATGTAAAGAATGTACAAACTGAAAACATTAAATACTTTTGGGATCTATTTCCATTTGTTATTTTCAAAAGAGAAATACTGTCATGGATGTTTACAGAGCAGAGGTCACCTTTTTTTAATTCCAATGGGAGAGATGGACTTTTGTTTGTCTTTTGTTTATTATTATTTTTTGCTGTATTGTTGGTTACTGTGTTATTTCTGTTTCAAAAGCCAGCAATAAATAACACTTTAATATCTAAAGAGTGTTCATGTGATTTTATACATTAGTAATGTTGGGAAATGAATAAATGCATAATAATCGTCATAATCGTAAAACCGTGATTATTCCTCAGACAATAATTGTACCAACAAAATCTATAATCATTGCATCCCTATGTACAAACAATAAAAATATATAAGTTTAATAAAAATAAACCCAGAAGGTGTGACAACGTTAATTTTGGACCCTGGGAAGAAAGTGCGGACTAATGCCGAGTTCACACTGCACGATTTTCAAAGTCGTCGGGTCACCGTGGTTTTCACACTGCATGACTATCTGAGGTCAGTTGCTGCTGTGTTCACATTGCACGATGGATCGGTGACAAGAGGTTACACACGGCATGACTTTACAATAGGAAGAATCGCCGACAGCTCTGTCTGGTCCGCAAACTACGTTTCACAACAAAACACACGCGAGAAGTGATAAGGAAATAACGCGAGATCCCGCGTGCGTCAGACTGGAGTTCTCGAGCAAGACTGGAATTATAATATACAGCCTGCATATTGTCTGTGAGCTGATTTCCAGCTACAAGGAGAAAAAGAAAAACAGATTATGCAGGAGGGAGATGCAGGGAACAGGGATTGTGTGTTCTGCAAAGAGAGTTGGAGCTAAATAATTTTGCTGTAACTGTTATGCTGATGTTGTGGCTGGTCAAGCAAATGTTTGTGCTTGTTTTTGTATGATATAATTGTTCATATATCTATTAAAATACTGATATTCTGGTCTCTAACGCCTCCCCGAACTTCCCTCTGCCCTGTATCTTGGTCTCTCATTGGCGATGTAGTTTTCAGTCAGAAATCATTGCACACAGCGTGATTGTGAATCACTGACAGCTCCAGATATTTAGCATGCCAAATATTTTGCGGGCGTCAGCGATTCCCTCAGATCGCCTCTTTGATAATTCACACTGCGTGATTGTCACTCGCGTGAATGAGCACCGATTTGCCTCCGATTTTGGGCATTTGTCGTCGATTTCGCAAAACCTGTCGGCGAGTGAAAAATTGGGCTAAAATCGTGCAGTGTGAACTCGGCATAAGACTATTCTGAGATTTTACCTTCAGAGATCTCACTGACTGAAACTGTAGAGGAAGGTTTGGACTTTGAAGGTTTAGCTTTGCCAGTTTTTGAGTCAGCAGTGGCAGAGAGATCAACTAAGAGCAGATATAAAGATGGGAGAGAAACAGACAGAGACAGAGTGAATGAATAAATGAATGTAGAAAGAAACAGCATATCTTAAAAGCTCTAGAAACAGATATGTAGAACAGAAAAAAAAGCTTACAAGGGGAGTTTAAATTTTGGGTCTCGGAAGAATTACATTAAGTATAAAGGTGTGTAGGTTTTGTAGATTTCAAACTAGACAAACCAATAATACCACCCCAAGCTCACAGCACTAATTGAGGTAATGTTGCTATGTCAGACATATGACATTTTTAAAACATAGGATTGTGGAAAAGGCTGTTTATAAAGGCTACCATTGTTTTGGAAATGTTCTGGTTGTTTGGGCTGCTCAATCAAACAGAGCAACGTTTTGATAGTGCCTTTGTGTTTACATTTGTCAAGGAAACGAACATACAAATGATAATAAACAAAATAAAATATTTTACATTTACAAAAATTACACACTTCACCTTTAAATTTAATATCAGTATTGCAAAGACAACATAATTGTATCAGTATACACAAGCCAACATGCATGCAGCATGAAGAAAAGCATAAAAATTAACTAACAAACAAAGAACGTCAAAAATAAATTATTTGAAGATGAATTGTAAAACCAAACTCTTACGCGCATGCTGGTGTCCGAGAGGGGCAAGCTGAATCCTTTGTCCTACGGATCCCACTTCTTTCTTCTGGAAAGAAGGTATATATCCTCCAGAGAGATTGTATGTGGTGGTTACAAAGTTTCCTATGGGCAGAGGCCACAACTTAAGAGTCAAGAAAGAAAACACAACCAGCTAAACAAACTAATCAAACAAATGTTTATCTACATTTTTGCTAAATATACCCACTCAAGAGGTGTGAAAATTACTCATTCTATCAAATGTCAGTGTGAAGAGTTCCACAATGACTATTTTTCTTGAAGTGTCTTACAGACATTTACACCCCAGACCAATGTCCATGATAATGTGGGCAATGGCAGAACAATACTGTTGCAAATAGATAGTGTCCTTTCTTTA